TTTAATGGTGGCTAAGACCACAAAGATTCATCAAGCACTATGAGATGAGAAGGGTCTGAAGTCGCTCCCCTGAGTGGGTATTACAGAAGACAAGACTGAGGGTAGTAGCTAGTGTGTCTTATCTGGGGTGTCCCCTGGACCATCAGCAGTCAGAATGTGTGTGACTCCTCTTGCCCTTCTCAGGCTGGGAACATTGGCCTGTGCTTGCCTCTGCTTCTGACTTAGATGCACAGCTGGGGACTGGACACACTGCTAAGGACCACTGTGTCCTATATAACTCAATTCCATAAGTAGGGAAATACCTATCCATGCTCACAGCTGTGCAGGAGGGCTGCTTGTTGGTTCCTGGACTCCAGGCTAGCTTAGACCCAAAATAATCACACAGAAACTGTATAAATTAAATCACTGCTTAGCCCATTAGGTCTAGCTTCTTACTGGCTAACTCTTACATCTGAATTTAACCCATTTCTATTAATCTGTGTATGGCCACGTGGCTGTGGCTTACCGGCTAAAGTTCCCAGCATCTGCCTGTGGCAGCTCCATAGCTTCTCTCTGACTCCACCTTTCTTCCTCCCAACATTCAGCTTATTTTTACCTACCTCACTAAATTCTGCCCTGCTATAGGTCCAAAGCAGTTTCTTTATTCATTAATGGTAATCACAGCATACAGAGGGAAATCCCACATTAACTCCCGTTTTCTGTTTAAACAAAAAGGAAGGCTTTAACTTTAACATAGTAAAATTACATACAACAAAAAAGGTATCAACAAGAATTACAGTTATATTTTATATACTTTATCCTTTATCATAACTAAGGAAAACTATAACTATAAATTCTTCAGCTCTATTAAAGAGTCCAGAAGGATATCACGCTACCTAAGTAAACAAGAAGTGCAGTGTAAGCAACTTCCAAAATTCTAGAATTAACAGAGAATTATCTCTTTGCCTGGACAGTCACCCAAAGTTCTTTTGTACCATTAGGGCATCCATCTTCAGCTTACAGGCCCATAGTATCCAATAGACTTTTCAATGAAGCAGGACATTTCAAAGACAGTTACACCTATTTTGGCAGTTTGTTAGTCACTTTCTTCTGTGTTCTGCAGATTGTCTGACAGACTCTTTCATGAAGCAGGAACCCCAAAGGACAGTCTCACTGAACTGGCAAGGCCAGCAGTCATATCTCTGTAGGTCCTACATGTCTAGTTCATCAAGCAGTCCAGGCAAGAGCAGTTTCTTGCTCAAATGGCTAACCAACTCCATAAGGAGCCTCTTCAATGCCCATCATCCTCTTGAAGTAGCTTGGTGCTGCCAGGAGCAGATGTGTCTTACTGTCATGAAAAGTCTTAAGTTCTTAACATTTTAAATGCCATATTCTGAGGTCTCTGAAAGATTTGAAGAATACATATTTAACAGAAATATATCTCTATACATCTAGAATATCTAACTAACATGACTACAAGCTTAACTATTATAGATGATTATCTATTAACCTATATTTTTAACAAATTATACATTATATTTTAAATGAACTACACAAT